TGCTCTGAAGATCCGGTTCACAGCACTAAGTCTCAGCAGCTGGGCTGAGATAGAAATCACACTACAGCTCCTTTCTGTGCACGGAACTGGTGAGGTGGCTGGGAGGTGGCATCATTTTCTTTGACTTTTGCTGGGCCAGTGTCTGTCCCAGAGTCTCCTTTCCACAGCCATGTTTGAGTTAGCAGAATGTGCAGCCACATGGAAGCACTGGGAAAGTGTTGAGGGTTTCTTCCTCAAAAATAGATCATTTTAGTGTAAAGAACACTGGAACAATTCAATAGATCAATGTAACAACTCCTAACATCATGAAGATGTTGTTCCTTTTATGGAGTCAGTATGGCCGTTAGATTAATTGTGTACAGTTAAAAATGATTTTAGGCATTCTTACATTTTAATTATCATCTAGAAAGGAGACATATATTGCTAGTTATTTCACGTCACTTTAGGTAATTTATTTATACAGCTACTGATTAGGCTAGCTAAGGAGTGCTTTTATCATTAATAATGTCAATTTGTGTGGAAGATTTTTATGAAAATGTTGCTATAAATGAAGTAGTATCCCACTCTTCCTGAAGTATTCTCATCTCCTTCTGGAACTTTTTTATATTCTTATTTTAGAAAGAAGACATTAATAGCCAGTTTAATCACTTTTTTCAAGAATATGTTTAGGACAGAGAGAAAGAAGCAAGTCCCTATTCACTAGAGAGTGGTCAATTTCATTTTATGGAAATAATGCTCTAAAAATAAATAAAAGACAAAACATCAAGTACCGTAACAACAACAACAAAACCACATTCAGTGCAGATTTAGTCACAAAAATAAATTTTGGCATTGGATGAAATTCATAAAAACTCACTTCATTCAAATCACAAAGTGCTTAGGTACCTGCCTATGTTTTAGGCCCATTCATATGGTTCTGGGAGTCTTTATTCATTTCCTCCTTTGTCTAACATTTAGTCTAGATGAAAATAATTCAACTATTGCTTTATTTTTCTAGCTGAATTCTGGCATTTCAAATTATAGGCTTGTGCAGAATCAGAAAATATACTGAAAAAAATGGGGATGACATAGTTTCTGAGCTGTTTAATATCATTATTGATTTATTGTGTTTTGTTTCGTGTGCATGTGTTGCTGTGTTCTTGTTGTTGTTTGCTTTTTTTTTTTTTTTAATTCTGATCCATTACAGTCTGTTATGGAGACACACCTGTCTTCTTTTGGTCCATAAATAGATCAAATGGTTAATAGAATGAGATTTTCAACAGGCAGACTAATAATATGCTGTTAGTTTCTTTGAGGGAGAAAATATGTTTTACATTGCTGGTGGGAAAAACAACATTGCCTGAAAGCCTGGTGAAACTGAAAAGCCTCAAAATGTACCAATACAGAAAAACAGAACATAATTGTTAAATGAACATGCATCATATATGCATTTCTGCCAAATATATAACATCTGCATGAATCTAAAATTAAAAAAAATAGAATTACTTCTATTTTAGGAGTTTCATATATCAGAAATAATATCAATCTGAACAATGTAATTTCTACTCAGGTCTGAACTAAAAGTTTATAGTTTTTGTTATTCTTAGAATTCTTTTCTAATGTTATTGTGCTTTTTGCTTGCTGATTTTGGTAGTGCGTTGAGGTAAGAAAAAAGAAATCATGGAATGCAGTTCATTGGGGCTGCACATGGTTCTTCATTACTTGTGCCTTGTCTCCCTATTCCCCAGCTGATGCTTATGCTTCCAGCCCACACAATAGCCTGGAGCTGAATGGGAAACACAACTCATCTTATAGCTCCAAGATTCTTGCAAAGCTGCACCCTTTTCAAGACTATGTTCAACACAGTATTTTATCTGAAGTCTTTGTTTCCAGACTAGAAGTCTATACTGAAGTCACCACAGCTACTTAGGAATCCCTTGTCAGGAGAAAAGCTCAAAAAGAAAACAGTATTTTTACCCTAGGAACAGAAGTAAGTGATTGATCACAAAATTGGAAGTGAATATACAAATAAAAAGCATTAAATGCAGAGCAGGACAAGTTTGGAATGAATCTTTCTTTCCTCATCAAGGATTTATCTGCCTCATGCTTTGGCTGCCTTGTACTGTCTTTCAAGAAAAGCCTTTGAGAAACGAATTTCTCCTTCAATTTCTGTGCTGTGCTTTTACTCAGGGATTTCCTGATTACTATTCAGTGTGATTAAGACATTTCAAAAGAGGTTTTAAGATTCCTGCATCTCTCTTAGGCTGCTCACTGCACTGTAGCCATGTTTTATAATCTTCCAAATATCTTCCCATTGGGTGTCCCAAGAGTGGGACACCTTTTCCATTACTGACTGATTAGATTACATTTAATCCATAGGAGCCTGTAAGTTCCAGATTTGAGAGCTGCAGATTCTCCACCTCTGTTTTGCTTTAAGCCAAATACTATAACACTTCATCAGTCACTCAGAGAAACTCCTCCTTCAATGTGTAGTCACCTTGTGGCCTGATACTGTCTGCCATGCAATACAATAATACAACAGCTCTGTAGTCGCATGACGTTAATTTTAATTGCTGGTATATATAAGAGAGCAATATATCTCAGCAATAACACTGAGGCTACGAGGAATTTTCTCCAAAGTATGTTCAGAACCGTTCTCAAAAAGCCTGCTAGTACTGGAAAATTTCGAGGTGAACTATCACTATTAATGTTTCAGAAGAACTTGGGTGCCCATAGAAGCAGAGTCATCTCTGTACATAATGTATAGCCCAAGGACATGTGCAGACATGTGTGCCTTGCCTTCATTCCTGCTCAATGTGGAAGACTGTGAGATAAGGACAGAAACACAAGCAGAGGTAACTGTACAAGCTTTATGGTGCACCAGCTGGTGCCCTGCAGCATGAAATCCCAGACTACCTGAGGCTCTTGCCTCCTTGCTCTTCTTTTTCCATGCCAATATTTCCATCAATATGTTTAATTTTCAAATACAAGTTGAACACACCGTCCTAAACACACTGTGGAGGACTATCATGTTTTCTGTCACTGCCTAGATCAGTCTGCAAGTTATGATTAGCCCAGGCCTCAGATCGGTGGGAGGCTGTTGCCTCAGGTAATTTTCTAAGGTTTGGCTAAATAAACCTGAATATTATTTCAATGTTAAAATATTTTTCTTTTTATTTTTTTGCAAAATATGAACTGAAACGGTAGCTCTCCACAAAGAAAGTGAAATGTAACCCTTTCAAACATTACCCGAAGGGATCAAAGCATTAAATCTATGAGTGGAACAATATTTGAGCCAGAGAACTACTTTTTTTTCTTTTTTCTTTTTTTCTCACTTGCTCGAGCTCTGATACAACTTTTCACAAACTCTTAAACAACAAATTAATATATTCTATCTACATAAGTTAAAGTACTTTTGTTTCATATTTATTTACGGTCAATTTTTCCATCTTGTGTGAGTGACATTTTCAAGTTAACTCTTTTACATTCATCAACAGCTACTCAGTTGTCTGAAAAGTGTCTTATCCATAACCCAGCACGTCTCTAATAATTCATTCTGTTTCTTAGAACTGTGAGAAATGAAAGGTATTATTAATACTTAAAATCATAGATAAAAAGCTTCTAGCTAGCCATTAATAGTTACACTCTTGAATTAACCTCGATAAGTACAACACATTAGGTGAAACACTGACAAAGCCTAAAAAGGATGTCAATTCTTTTCCATTAAAAATATCCCAGTAACCAACATCAGTCAGAAAAAGAAATTGGGCAGTCACTTTGCTTTACATTTCCTAGGATTGTAGGTGAATGAAAAGATAAAATCATCATGAGTCATCAAACACAGAAATTATGTGTTCGAATACCAAAAAAATTAGTTGTATTAGGGAATATAACCCCTTTCCTATATAATACTTTCAGAATATATGTGTATAGAACCTCATAACATTATTTGAATAGCTTAAATTATAATGTAACTTTTATTAATACCAAAATGAAGATGAGTTATATCATGGCCACTATTAGCTACAGGCTGCCAAGCACCATAAGATTCTCTGTTGCTGACTCTCCAAACTCATTTGCAAGAATTCTGCTATTTCCTTTTGCTGATGTTGTTCTGAAGAGTGTCCAGAGTTTGGTTTTCTTTCTTTCATTTTATCTAATTTTAAATTTAAATTATTTTTATGGGATTAAAACAACCAGCATATTGTTTCCCTTTGTGTCTTTAGTTAACATGTTCAAAGATCTATCAACAGAATACTATTCTGACACCAAATTTTAAGTCCAGCTTAACTTCCTGATGACTGCTTGTTTCTTAGAAGTTGCCACCTGTCAGTCCACAAAGGAGAAAAACTTCTATATCCTGTAAGCCATAGTTTTTCGTTCACTTAATTTTGGATACTTAATTGCATGTACGGCAGTAAGAGATCAAATTGAGAAAATATACGTACCATCCACTAGTTTGGAAAAAGTGAAAAAATGATTTCTTTGTACATAAATTTCTCTCTATTCATACTCACATAAATATCTGTAAATTTTAAATAATCGGACTCAATTACTTTAACTTCTCACTGCTGAATAGTTTTAAACCAGTACTACATTTATAAACACAGAAAGTATAAATACAGAGTACCAAGTAAGTCATGTAAGCAGAATTTAAATGACAAAATCCCACTGAGTTTTGAATATATATGGATATATTTAAATATACAGAAAAGGGAAACTTTAGAAAGAAAATCTCAGGCACACGCATAACAATGGGAAATGGAAAAAAAAAAACAGTAAAAAATGCAGTAGTATTCAAGACTTTAGTACTGAGAATTATTTTCTACTTTTTTTTTTTTTTTTTGGTGAACAAAACTCTTCTAGATGTTATATGATACACCTCCACCATGTCAACACAGTATGTTTAATGTATTTTTAATGAAAGTATTAATGACATCATATTATCACATTACCACTGTACATTAACACATCAAATATCTTCATACAATTTGAAGAGAAATTATGTGTTTACTACTTACCTAAATGGGTCTCCTGAATTGTTAGCTTACTTTCCAATGGGTGTAAAAGCTTTGGTGGTTTATCTGTTAGTGGCGCTAGAAAAGAAAGAAATTCACATATATAGTTTTCTGATAATTATTGTGTAGAAAAAAAAACTTGATACTTGATGGCTCAGAAATGTTTTTTCTTTGTTCATGCCTTAAGTAATGTTCATGCTTTACGCAGCAGTAAATGCTTTCACTTATAGAGTAAATACAGCACCACAATTAGATTATTAGATTATATTTATATACTGAGGTACTGGAGACATTTGTTAAAAAAAAATCTCTTCAGACTTTCACAAAAACCCTACAGCAACATCTTACAGTTTTGTGTTTTCGTAAACATGTTTAATGAAGTATTTTATTGCTTATTATAATATTTAAATACGTTCCTGCCAAATAGTCACTATCAGAGAAATAACATAGATAATCTAAGATTTGAAGGTGGATTAAAATAAAAGGGGTTCATTTTTAAAATTCAAGGGACAGATGCAGCGATGTAATGTTAAGACTCCTACTAAAATTACTTCCCTCTTCCCTTTTAATTTACTCTGAAATAATTATGGTAGAATAATGTAAACTGCAGAATAAGAGTTCTGTCATGGTCAAAAACATCCTGAAGGTGCTAATAGGAACTTTCTGAAGCATGTTCAAAACGTGCTGCTGAAAAGTGCAGCTATTACCCAGATTCATCACCTTATGCATACTTAATTAATAGAAGTGACTATCTGATTATTGCTACTTTCATATTACTAACAACTACTGTTAGTAAGTCTGTTCTACTGATGTCTGACAGACAAGTGCATGATACATGAAAAGAACATTCACTTTTTTTCTTTAAATGATTAGTAAGTGTTCATGGGAAATCTCCAACTTTTAGCTCCCTGGAACATTTTGATATTTAGCTTTTCAACATTAATTCACATTTCAGTCTTTAACATAGATTATGGGCTGTCAGAGATTTAAAGTACTTTTGACATTTTGATATAACTGTGTAATATTTGTTCCCTCAAACTTGTCAAATCACTATTTCCTTTCTTACTGACACACATTCACATGTGTGTAGGTTTAATCTACTAAACACACTCATCTCCTGTCAGTTGAACTGAGGGAGAGGTTGAGCTGCTTTCTCTTTATTACACTCATTTTACTCTTTGATTAAATTATCAATGCCCTTTAATACCTACAGTACTAACACTAACATTGCATGCAACAAGTAGAGAATGAATCCATATTTTGCTGTTTCATAGATATTTTTCTTATTTGGCCAATGCATAAATCTCCCCAATTGTTATTACAGAATTATAGAATGTCTTGGGTTAGAGGGGATCTTAAAGATCATTTACTTCCCTCTGCCATCATTGACAAACAGTAAATCAAGCACTAGATCAGGTCACTCAGGGCCTTAAACATCTTCAGATATGGGGCAAAACCTTATGTGTTGATCCAACAGTGCAAGGGATGAATCAAAATACCTCTTCAGGGAAAAGACCTAGGTGCACAAACACTCTTTCAGTTCATTTTTCTACTTTCTACAGGAACTTATTCTGCGTTCAGGACTTCAGAGACAGCCCACAGTTATTAAAGATTTTTAAACAGCATCTCTGGGTTGTTACTTCTCTTTACACTGATGTCCCTATCTCTCCTTCTATCTTTTTTTTTTTTTTTTTTTTTTTTTTTTTCCTTATGAGCTAAAGTAGGTGGAAGGGAAAAGGATCCAAATTGTGTTTTTTCTTAAACTACAAAATTAGTCATTCCCAATCTTAACTTTTCCAGCAAGACTCAGAATTTATCAGCACATTGCCATTTAAAAAAATCATCCACTTTGAATTTAAATTTAGTTTTGCAGTTCTGTCACTCTAAACTCAATTACCATTTATCAGATAGTGTTTTCTGAGTCACTGTTGTTCTAAATCTGTTTTGAGACTCTTCAAGAAAACAAAAGTTTCTCATTGTATTAAAGATATAACTAGTTCAACAAATTCAACAATGAGGCTAGAAAACAGTTTTTTTTTTTTCTAATCAAAGCAAAGAAAGACATTACTTTTATGGTACTGTACTGAAGATCTCTAAGAGGCTTCCTACTATTAAATGAATTGGCATAAAATCATTATTAGCAATATATAAATAAATCACAATTGAACTGATGATGAAGTTATTACATAACTTATGCACAACACAATTTTCCTATAACTTGTAATATTCAAGTCTTCCACAAAGAATTTCACAGAAGAAATATTGTTGAAAACAATTAATTAGATATATAACTGATATATTAGATTCACAGGAGTACGTAGGCTGAAAAGACATTCTGGAGATCAAGAGGTTTAAACTCTTGCTGAAAATAAATTCAATAGATCAAACAGTCAGTAGGTCAATACTTCATTCACTGAAGTTCTAAACACCTCTGTGGATGGAGAATTCACCATTTCAAGTATTTAATCCTCTAAGTGCTGGACTCAATCCAGTTTATGTCTTTTTCTACACTGAGGAACCAAAACTTTGACAGAGCATTCCCAGTGTGCTCTCATAGGTTCTAAATAGTTGTGGAGGAACACCTTCCTGTACCTGCTAGCTAAACATTTGAGAAAAAATGTGCAGTTGGCCCTTGCTGACTGAGGTTCAACTTATTTTATGCCTGGACTGATAGATATGCTGGGACTGATGGATCTGCAAAGCTTTTTTCTATTCAGTTAGACCATGCCCTAAACTACTGCTTATTCCAGAACTAGGGCAAGACTTTGCATTTGCCTTTGTCCAACTTCATGGTCATCAGTCCCTGTCTTCAACTTGTCAAGATTTCTCAGCAGCTTTGATCTCCAGCACACACCCAGTCTTCCACTTTTGCTGAAACTGAACTTTATACCATCATCTAGCAGACATAATACATAAGCTCTTTAATCAAGATTAAAACACTATAATAATAATACACTATAGGTTTCCTGTGTTGTATTTTAAGGTGATATTTGCCAGTACTTTTGGCCAGGAAGTAGGCACATCTGATGGTTCAAGCAGTTATATCTCCCAGAGCTAACTCCTTCACCCACGTAGAAAACCAAAAGCATCCCTGAGCATACTGCATTTCAAAGTTTTAGCTATAGGGAAACATTGAAATAGAATGATACAGGGAAGGAAAATCATCTCACTATCTTGCTATACTTAAGAGTATCAAATTTTAGGGCAATTTGAAATGTACTCTCAATCAATCTACACTTTATGTGCATGTTATTTTATTTATTAACCTACAAATACATGAATGTTTTTCTGGCAATTAAGCCATGTGAACCAAAACAAATGTGAGAAGATTTCAGCTGCCCCTCTGCATTTCAGTTTTACGCTGTCTGCAGAAACCAACATTCACAGGCAGCACAGAGCTTCTGCAATCCTTGTTTAGTTTAGAAACTCTGAAGTAGACCTATTGTTTCCTATAAATAATTTTGAATCCTTCAGACTATGAGGTATCATATTCCTAACTAGACCAACCTATCATATAACAGACTATTCACATAACAGACTATTCAAAATGAGCACATTTTTCAGGTTAGAGATATTGAGGTACAGTTATTTAGAAAGTTCAACAACAAAAAACAAAATTTCATCCTTTCTCTCTGACTTTTTACAAAATATAAAGAACTGGGGAAAAAAAAAAAAAAAAAACAAAAAAAAAAAAAAAAAACAAAAAAACCCACAAAATCGCACAACTATAGCCTTCCTTAGCAAGCTAAGTACCCTTTATTTTTTTAAGAGCTTTACAAAGGCAACTATTTTCTGATCCTACAGAAACGTTAATGATTTCAAAGCAATTCCTGTACTGCATTGCAAGCAAACAACCAGAATTCTTTTCCCTGTTGCTAAATAATAGAGAAGGTCCTCTTCCCACTAGGTACTTATTCCATGATTGTCAGAAGAAACAGTGCTCAGATTCCTATTCCTGTTCTTACATAGAAGATTGTCAAGTTTCTTGGCAAGAATCTTAATTCCAGGACATTATTGTCTATTAATGCATGGATGCAGTATCTTTCTCTTTCCCTCTCTTTCCCCCACCCTCTCTCCTCTTTCCCTCTTCTTTCCCCCACTGCTCCTCTCTCTTTCTTCTGCAGCTTCTTCTCCCTCTTCACTTCTTCTTCTTCTCTTTCCCTCTCTATTTCCTTTTCCCCTTAAGAGTAAAGAATCTTATTCCAGATAAAGTTAACAAAAACTCCAAAACAAACAAACAAAAACAAAACAAAACAACAACAAAAAAAGAAACCACAGGATTTTGTTAGGTCAGCTTCTCAGAAGTAAAAGCAGTTTGATCAAATCCACTTTACAGTCCATCTTTGATTTCCGAAACATAACTGTAGAATGGTTTGCAAAGAAATTAAAAGAAAATGAAAATAAACAACAACAAAATCATAAGTGAAATAACCTTTTCTGAAACCATATTTAAAATTAATATTTAATTTTGAACTTACAGTTCATGTGCAAACATAATGATTGTACTCAAAGAGAAAGCAACTAACTTCATATTCCTTATCTACTAGATTGGATGTACATTTAAAATGTATTGAAATATTTGCCTTGTGGTGAAAAAAACAAAAGAACTATAAACTAGCCAGAAGATAATACTTCCACATTGGCTGCTTATTTCTACATTTTTGTTTCTGAGCTAAATCTTTAACTTCAGATGCTCATGTTCACATAGTATATCCTTTTACTGTATGCAAACTTCTATTATTCGAGGAGACTAGCCACTTGACAGTTTCATATAACTAATGAAGAAAAGCTTAATCTGAACTGTACATCAAAATATGACTAATCCTGGGTACAAAAAAAAATTACATTGACTTATAGCACACAAGCTTAATTATAATCATTAATATCATTGATAATAATTTTGAAGATCTATGCTTGTGTCTACTCACAAATTGCTCAGATTCTGCTATGGACATTGAGATGGTTACAAATAGTCTTTATTTCTTAGAGGCAAACATAACTATGAGGAGCTGTCTTCAACTTAGAAACATAATTTATTGTCTGGAAGGACAGGAAAATTCCTGCAAAGCAATAAGTTC